TCTTCTAATCCCCTGTTGATCAAGATACTTGTGAGGGCCAAGAGATGCCAGCATCAAGGACACAGAGGCAGATCCCCACATTCTCAGAAACTTACACTCTCGTTTTCCCCGTTTAACCCGATGCCTGCCCGAGTTTCCGACTTTTTTGGATTACTCCACTTTCCAATTCCCCCACTTTAATGTGACCCTTTCCAGTCAAATGCTTATCAGACCTCAACGATGGCGGTGGTGGTGGTGGTAGAAACGCCAGGCTCGAACAAGTTTGAGGAAGCAAAGAGTCGTAAAATACGTAGTAAAAAAAACAACCCATCAACTGTGTAAAATTCCTAGCTGTACACTAAACTGAAGAAAAAACGAACATTCCATTCAAATTGAAGCAATGAACGAACTCTGACTCAGAAATTCATATGGGAATAAAAACTGGGAAATTTAGTGGAAAATGGTGACTCACGTGAAGAAAATTGATCAGCATCAAAATCAGACCGTAAGACGATAAACCGCCTGTGTAAGTGGTATTCAACCGCCGCAAAATTAAAAACTGTTTTAATACCAGTATCAACGGTTCCACTACAGGGAACTCTTCCTTCACCTAAAAAACAGGATCCGCTTTAGATGGGAAAAAGGAAAAGTAAAAAAAGGAAAAAGTTTGTGGAAATTGATTCATTGAACTCTCGATCAGACGGGTTCCTATACAAAAATGGAACAAGGTATCTTAAGGGCAAAAGAGCAGATGTTTTGCGTTATCGACTTTTCATGAGGTACGCCACATAGTCTACATTCATTTATAATCTACTAACATTGAAAGGCGTTCTCAGAGCTTATGACTTGTGGGGACCAACCAGAATAGTTGTTGACCCCTCCATCTTCCTGGGTGAACTGATGCCATGGATAGATTGAATGTCGATTGGGATTGATCAAAAGAAACCGGGGAATAGAATATGGTAAGGGCCACAAATCATCGTCCTGAACCTACCCTCACGCTTGGCTGACCATAACTAGTACATGACTCAATTGAGCCGGCAATATCCTACAGGTAAGGGCTGAAAGGATCCAGGGCCATAGATCTCCCACGCGTTCTCCATCCTTTGGGACTGTCCCCGTCCCATTTCAACCTTACAGGATGTTCCGGTGTACTTAGTAAATAGTTCCAAAAATTTTTCACTGTGTATGACCAGCTCTCAATTATACAATTCAGTCTCATCACCTGTCGGGCACCCCATTCTGCAGAAAGTCCGGAAAGCATTCCAGAAAAACCTATTTGCAAAATGAGAAAAAAGGGAAAACGAGAAACACCGAAACAACAGGTTCGTGTGTAAGCACCCATTTGTTTGTGAAGGAACTACCAATCCCTACTACTACTGACCAGTTCTGTTTCGCTACAATTCAATGAATCGACAACGAATGGGCCGCATTACCGGAAGCTATTAAACATTTCCCACCTTTTCTATGTAATCGGCGGCCTTCACACCTTGAGCAGTGTTGAACGAAATGTCAACGTTCACTAACGTGTCCTTTTCGACCATTTTTACAATCGGTACGAATGCATCCGAAAAGACTGCCACAGATTTTGCCAAACCGACTTCCTCCAAATGGTTCGCTGTTTCTTGCATACAGCGAGCCTGAAATCAGAAAATCATGCAAAAAGTATCGAAAAATTGATGGCTCGTTGAATCGGCTCCAACTCTTTCCCTTCGCCGACGTTTCCAAAATGCAAAACCATCGAGCCAGATATAAAAAAACAATAATACGACCAATCCCCATCGGAACCAGGCGAGATTTTCCCGGAGAGTATGTAAGAACATTGTCCTGCTGGAGGCTGAATGCCTCAAATCGGTAAGGACTGAGCGCCATGGTTTCCATTCCTATTCTGTTCAATAGGAATGTTTGGAGGTATGCTTTGCCTCAAGAGTGACTCCAAGGAGCTCATTCAAAGTATACTCATCCCAGGAAACAAATTTCAATTCACCACCCTCAAATAACCCATGGCTAGTTGATCACGTCGGATTCGAATGCTGGCAAACGCCTTTCAGCCGCTACTCTTACCGAATCAACGCTTAACTTTCCCCCTATTCAGACTCGGGGAAACCTGAGCAGTAGCTTAATAGGATTAAGTCTAAAGCCGAAAATGAGTATTCCGCACAAACGACAGCCCAGGCGGTCCTCCAAAACTTCAAGTCTATCCATTTTCTAAAAATACTGAAAATTTGAGGGGTATTCAAAGTTGAGTCAATCAATCAACTGAGTTTTCAGCTATCAACAAGTGGACTGACTGGGTGCACATTCTAAATGGGTGGCCATGCTTAATCCGTCATCTTCTATTCCATCGAATCAAAACTCTTGTCCACATAAGCATTTAAATGAGGCCAAACAAAAAATACCCCATCGATCATCCATCAGGGTGTGGTTCAGATATGTCAAGCGTTCACCGAGAAAAAACCACAAATTCATATGGACACACGGAATGTTCGAAAAACGAACTGCATTCTTTCAAAAACTGGAACCACTACTTTCGAAAACAACTCTCTTGTTCGTTCGTCTTTGAACCCAGTACCCGCGCGGAAGAACCGATTCTTCATTTATCGATAACTGTATCTTGATGAACCAGGCGTTTGCAGCTGCAAAGGCCGAAAAGGCCTTCCTGGAAAACCGTGAAAAGATGGGACGGAAGTAAGGAAGTAAAATAGGCACTGTAAACTTAGGATTGTTCAGTATCACAGCCCGTAATACACGATGCTTTTAAGGCGACAAGGATGGGTACAAGGAAGAGGTTCCACTTTTCAGCGATAGAAACGCACACAACCCTCTACACCTTTGTTGGGTAGAAATCTTCCCTACCTAAACAAAAACTCGATTGCCTCAGAAGCCTTTAATGTATCCCTTAATTTGGGAGACTTGGATTTTTGGGGATCGCCTTGCCTTCCACATCTACAATCCCTCAACCCAACGAGAACAAAGAATGTTTTGTGCAGTCTAACCTTACTCCATTCCATTTAAATTTAATGTTTTTTATATATTTTTTTTAAAAAATGACGGAATAGGCTATATTTTTAAAGTGTCCCTAGTTCATAAGCAAGGAATTTCAGACATCTAGGACATCAAACTTCGTACCTAAACCTACTAAAGAAGGGCACGCTGACCCATTTGCGAGCCTCGAATGTTCCACAAACCCCAGAGTGATCTTTGCTTCTAATGGCATCTGGGAATACACCATACATCCGATCATTCTAGTTTCTCAGGAAAGTATTGACTTTTACATTTTTCGTGGTGCAAGAGCCATTTTATTTATAAACACCCCAACCAATCCCCTTTGGCAATACCGATTCGACTGAAAACTGGCCTGTCGATACAAATGGGCAATCGAATTTGATCTAGTTCAGTGGTTTGATATAAAGGTAATGAAATGCGAGAAAAAAAAANAAAAAAAAACAGGAAGCGCCAGTTTCCCGAACACGTTAGACAAGACCCAGGTAACCTTTACCCAGTTAGGACTCCCATGGTCGTACCTCATCAATCACATATTTAGACCACTATTCATTAGATTCAAATGCTCTCAAAAACATGCTTCTATTCGTGATGACAGAAGAATATTTGGAGAGTGGGAGAGTCTCCAAAGGTCGGTCCTCGAGTCACCCAGCTAACCCAGACAGTGCGACGCCTGAGTTTGATTGTCAGGAAGTTTTCTCCTATCCAACTGGTTTAGGGAAAATTCTGGAAGTTCTCTCAAGGATATTCCCCAATATACAGGCCAACACGTTAATGTAACTGATCTGTCTAAATCACTCTACTCACTATTCTCCTTACCTCCTCAATGCAGTAATAAAAAAACTGGACCAAAAGCTAATCCCTAAAAAACAGCTGATATCAAATGGGTGCTACTCCAGGAACTTGAAATTTCCCACATCAAAACCTTGTTTTCTGATGAAATTCGATACAATCATATGACAAATTCGATGCAATCATATGACACCGCCTGGGAAGAACTGATAAGAGCCTACCTTATCTTTGCCAGGATGATCCCTAAAGCAAGAACATCAGACACCCCATGAAATATCCCGAGGATTATATCACTCCAATTCGGTAGGAGTCAGGCACTTCAGTGGTCCTTGATCTCAATCGCCCATCTCATCGGCATCGAAATCCACTTGCAACGCTACTAATTTATTCTGAGGCACGTTCGTTTCGTGAGGGCAGCTCGTCGAAATAGCTCTCGTCGCCTCTCTCGGGAAAAAACGAGGTGCAATCGATTTTGTCCCCACTTAAGAACGAGCAAAAGAATGAGCAAACCCCACTTCCCAAGAAAACTCCAGAAACCCAAATCTACTTCATCTCTTTTCTTCTCTTAAAAATGATTCCAGGTACGGCATGGCTTCAAAAGTCAAGGGTAAATTGTTGCAACCCAGTGTTTTCCAGAAATCCTCTCCTTGTGTTCCCAAAAAGAAAATTGCTTGATTTTCAATTGTTATACTTTCTTCAAGTAAGCTGTTTATTCAATCATCACTACTCCCCAAACCCCGCCTTTCCTTGCTAACTGGGAGAAACCACGCCCCTTTTGCCGTTCTTTTACATCGCTTCGTTGGTTCCTAGTCAATAATCGGTTGACAACCTGTCGCAGTTGCTCCTTCTTTCCTCAGTTTTGTAAGACATGTTTCAAAGAATCTCGCCGATGACATACACGGAAGGTAATTAAGATTTAAAAAAGTAATCGTAAGTAAAATCTGAAATGGGGATACAAAGAGGAGAGATTCTACAAACCATCATTTACAATCTTACGTGATGTATATTTTTTTATTATACAGAAAAGGAAACCAAAAACTGAAAAAAATCAATAACTATTCTTACCATAACACTAGAGTCCTTCCACTCATCACACTCGATTAATACGTCGATATCCGACGTTGGTAAAAATAATCGAGTTCGTAGACTTCCAAACACCGACACCCGCACATTATTGCCTTTCCAACGTTCTTTTATAGCACTTTTCACCTGAAAAAAAATTGAATGCTATTTAGATTAAGTTTATGACGCATCGCTTTTTTTCTGCTAAAAATATATATTTATAATGTAAAATGTAAATAATAATATACATTTATAATGTAAAATGTAAATGGGGCAACTCAATAACCAGACATCCATCACACAAAAGTTGCCATTCTGAAGATAGAAAGTTTTCCAGTACCGAACTTGTTTCTGATAATCATGGAAATACTTCGCGCCATGCTTTTCACCACAGCAGTTACTGCCAAAACAATTGGATATCTATTATGTTCAAATAAAGTTGCTGTTTGAAATATTCAGTTCCACTGATGAAGAGAACAAAAAAAAACGTCTTGTTCACTGATTGATGATGTTGATGAGTGGGCCATGCACTTGACACTTGCTAGGAATCACAGAAACGTTTGAAACAGCACTTTGTCAGCCCTAATTGATGTCAGTAACTTTACTGAGGATGAGGGTATCGAGGATCGAATTACCCGCTTAAAACTATCTCATTGAACTGTGAGAATGTAGTCTCTTATGGCCCTAGTAATTGAATCCAATAAGCCATGCTCAGGGAAAAGGGAAAATATTCACTGGTGCCGTTCCAAAGTAGTTCGAATAATCAGACTTTCTACAGGAAATAGTTTACTTTGTTCGTAGGAAAAGGCATCCCTTTCAGTTATCAACAAATTCATCGATTATGCCAAATGTCGGACAAATCTCGCGATCAAAGACCCCTCAGCATGAGTGCAGTAACAATTATACGTCTCACATTCCCAAACCCCTGACCACAGTACTATCAGCTAGGTGACAATGGGAGAACAGAACATTCCTTTCTCAGTGTGTAGGACATCTACCGATAATCAATAGAATTATTTTCACTGTAATACCTACGCTATTCATTGTAAAAACCCTCCATATGATCAGGAAAATGTTTTGTTGCTTACAAAAGTTCAACAGAGCATGAGACATCGTTGAAGGTTTAGCGAAAAAAAGGGAAAAGGTGCATACTGTAAGGTTCCGTGTATTAACCCATTTTCCATGGCCCATCTACGAGGAATCTGGGGCTTATTAGGAACGTAGCGTGATGGTCACATCGTAAAAAGCATGTTAAGGGTGTGCAACCAAGAATAGAAAAACTTTAAAAAAAAAACGTGAGCGTTGTTTAGGAAAGGTTCGATGACTACTCAAACCAGTTGACAGTAAAAGTTATCAGCTGAGTGTGCTCAGTCTCAGCAGCGCACCTTGACTTCAGGGGAAGTCCTACTGGGGCGGACACAGGATGATGAAATTGGAAAACGCGTGGTGTTAGTAACCGAAATAAGTATGGAAAAGTCAAAAGTGTGAAGCTGGCTGCTGCTTTTATTTAAGATTGAACCCTCACTTCCAGACAGAACCTGATGCATGCCACACAAATTCATTCGTGATGTGTTAACCTTTTGGTCACAAAGAAAGGATTCCTCCCGAACAGTTTCCCTACCAACAATTCCATTTATTTATTTACATCATCAAACCTCCTCGAACCTCCATTGCAGACTCAGTACATTGAAGCTCATCTCGTTACTAATCTATTTTTAGATAATCAATGATAAAGGTAAAAATTAATTATGGATTAAATTTGACAACCCTTACTCCCCAGTATTCTTTTGAAACATCTCCGGCCATAAAAAATCGTCAGTAAGCCTTATCAGAACCATCGAGAAGTCACATTTACGATAACGCTAACGTCATCATGCGAACGACTCTCGTCATAAAAAAAGCAAAAAAAAAACGTGTAAAATCAAATTTGGCCCTCAATGCAAGTAATATGATCTGAAAAGGATGATGGACTTCAGGAGGAGACGAGAATTCAGAATTTGCCACTTCTTTCTAGACTGGATATTCTACTGGCTGGATAACGGCCTCATTTCCAGCATTTTTCCTTCCTTTTATTTTCAGGCATTCATACCTTTGACATGACTAGTCAAATACATAATACATCTTTTACAGAATACAGTCGATATCGCGCTTTAAGGCTATCACGAGCGTTATTTTTGATGGCATGCTCAAAACACATGATTACCAGTACCTCATGAGCCCTTACACTTCTATAAGGACGCCCAAATTATCGAAATTCCCATAAATCTGATCGGGAAAAAGCCTACAGTCAACCACAGTTCCAACCTCACTTCATTCTCGCTATTTTCTATGGTTTTTGCTATTTCCTGGTATTTTCTATGAAGAAAGAAACGGTTCGATCAGCAGTAAGTTGAAGACTATGACTCATAGTATCCACCACTTAATAATGGGTATTATGAGTCATAGGGTATGGGTGATCCTGATTAACTCCTCGGTACAAATGTTTAAGCCTCTGCATGCATCCCAAGCTTTCACTCGCTTTTCTAAAACTCCGACAACGCCAAACATCACAAGAGAAGCCTTATCAGTATCCTGCGATGATTATTGANATAACGGCCTCATTTCTAGCCTTTTTCTTTCCTTTTACTTTCAGGCTTTTACACCTTTTTCGTAACCAGTCATATTCATCATACCTCTTTCGCAGTGTACAGTTAATATCGGGCTTTAAGGCTATTACGAGCGCTATCTTTGATGGAATGCTCTGAGCACGTGATGACCAGTATCTCGAGAGCCTTTATACTTCTATAGGGACGCCCAAATTATCAAAATTCCCATGAATCTGATCAGCAGGAAGCCCAAAGTCAACCAGAGTCCCACCCTCAACCTGAATTCCTGCTGTTTTCTACGATTATTGCTATTTTTGCTATTTTCTATGATGTAAGAAACGGTTCGATCAGCAGTAAATTGAAGACTATGACTCACAGTATCCATCACTTTATAATGGGTATTATGAGTCATGGGGTATGGGTAATCCTGATTAACTCCTCGGTACAAATGTTTAAGCCTCTAAATGCATCCCGAGCTTCACTCGTTTTTCCAAAACTCCGACAACACCAAACATCACAAGAGAAGCCTTATCAGTATCCTGCGATGATTATTGAGAGATTCTGACTAATTCAGTTTTCCTGCGCACCGATACGAACTAGCAAACAATCACACCCACTGCGTACATACTCGTGACTGTTCTGATTGTACCCAATACTGTTCCCAATACTGTTCCCACAACCACAAGACAATCTGTCCATACCGATTTCGCGTAGTCAGAAGTAGGACTTCAGAGTATGATTCCTTGGCATAGAAATTTTTGAAAACCCCAAGACCTGAGTCAGCTGAGAGTCGAACACTTGCTGGTCTAATTAGGGACCGACCGAATGATTCATGAATAGCATTACAAGATCTAAACTCCGCTACAGTAGAAAATAGATTGAACTGATTACCATCGCCTGATGAAAAGTAGTTTTACCGGTTTAGCTTAAAAAAAACAGAACGAGATGGACCAACAACAGCCCCTTTTGACATAGCTACTGCCTTTACACCAATCAAAATTCACTTTTCACACGCAACTTGCGATCATATGTCACCAGGGTGATGTGAAACTTAAAAATACGACTTGCTCACGTAACATTTCACTGTCTGAAACAAATACCGTCCGGATAAGTCATCGTGTAGAAAGTGATTACCGATTAATACAAAAAGAATTTGGTTTACTCCTTTCATTTTTCAA